CATTTTAAGGCAGTTTATTCATCTCCAATTAAAAACAACCCATAAAAATAATAACAGATTTTATTTAAAACGATCCCTTCCGACAAGACTCATATAAGGAAAAACAAGAAAGTCATTTTATTAAAAAATTATTAAAATATTTAATGTTTATTTACTTATAACTATAACTAATATACATATCGCACCTTAACTACAGGAGTTACATATAAAAATTTGTCAAATTTTATTTATGCAACCAAAATGAGTTTGCGATATAATAAATAAAAAAATATCATAGTTTAATATACCACAACAAACTAGTTTTAACTCATTTTTAAGAAATATATGAATAAATTTTAATAAATTTCATAATGTTTTTTCTACAATCTATGCGAATTCGACAGATACGACAAACTTAAGCTTTTAGCTTAACAGTGCCAGCCGATATGCCAGGGGTGGCAAGAAAATAGATAAAGGATATGAATTGTAGGTTAAACATTTGGCCAAACATTGGGCTTTGACTAAAATTAAGCCGAAGTTTAGCCAAATTCGAAGATTTATAAACTACCTGTAACTCCTTAAATTTACTAGTGGGGGTAAGCTTCGGCTAAACCTTCGACTCAATTTTAGCCGAAGCCGAATTTTATTCTATTAATCGTAGACCTAAAATAACCGAACATTGGTTCTACCGAAAAACTCACCTTCGCGAAGCTTCGGTCGGATACTAACAATTTTAAAGTATAACCTATATCGCGGCAGCCGATGCCGAAAGTGGATAAGATGTACGTTCAAATGGATCGATTCAAAATCGAATTCTGAGCAGCATTTTTATGTTGCCTTTGAATCTAAATCGCTAAACCGATGGTGGAAAGTCGAAATTTGTATCCTTTTTTGTCTAGACCTACTTTTCGACCACATTTTTCCAAGTCCATTCGTTTACCGGAAATCAAAATTTGGGGAAAAGTTGCTTCGGACGTTGATTTGTTCCTTGAAAATGGGTCGGATCCGTTAAAAACTCAGAAAAGAAAATTGGGCAAACAAAATACACAAATTAAAGAATAAAAAAATAGTTAAATGTACAGTTGTATTCATAAAAAATGCGTACAACAATTAGAATGATAGAAAACTGTCACAATAATATTATTGTTTAAAACCGGATTATGACTGGCATTAGTCATTATAATTATTATTATAGGTTATTAAAAATTCAGAGCTTAGACGTCGGAGGTTAATTAAATAAAATTACAAAAATTATTTTTCTCATTTATACACATTATGTGACGCGCTCTAAGAAGGCCATAATTATCTAAAGTAAGAAATAATTTTCCTTTAATATATGACGTCAGTAATTAAAAAAAATGGAAATACTGGGACTGAAATACTTACTTTTTTTCTTGTGTTTATTTTTAGTATAAAAAAATAGGATTAATTTGTTTTCATTTTCGTTGAATGTGTTATATTTTATCCATCATAATATACAGGGTGTCCTGAAATTAGTGCACCATACTTTAACAGCAGATTCTACGTGCAAAAATAAGAAAAAAAGTCCCTATAAACATAGGTCAAGAATTGCCTCTTAAGGGAGCTACAGCCCCCAAAAGAAAAGCCCCTGAAGACGGTTTTTATTTAATATCTCCAAAACCGTTAAAGATAGAAAAGTAAAATTTAGGGAATTAATTAAACTTTTTATGACCAATAAGACGTAACAATAACAATTTAAAAAATTTCATGAGGTTTGGGTCAGATTGATAGGAAGTGGGGTTAAAACCACCTTAACTTTTGGAGTTTTGCACATAAAAAAGGTGATCTTGTTAAACTTCGTTAACATACACCGTTTTTGCTTAAAATCCATTTGAAAATTATTTTACATGGCATAAAAATTCACAATTAAATCACAACCATAGAAATGGACTCGTGTGGTCCTTGGAATACGACTGCCATGTTTAGGAAAAAATAGAATAATTTAAGACAGGTAACAGTTTCATGTAGTAAGTGACAGGGTGTTTCTACTTTTTTATAAATATTAGATAAAAATCATATTCAGGGGCTCCCTTTTCAGGGGCTGTAGCTCCCTTAGGAGGCATTTCTCGATCTATATTTATAGAGACTTTTTTTCTTATTTTTGCACGTGGAATCTGCTGTTAAAGTATGGTGCATTAATTTCGGAACACCCTGTATATAAAATTTTATTATTATGTCAAAAATATCTATATTTACTGGATTTATATATAGCTGGATCTTCTGTTTGTTATTTTCAATACGCCTACGATACTTGCGCAAGATGCAAAATCTGTAAATTTTATTAAATAATCCCTTTGCATTTTTAATAACGTTTAATAATTATTATTATACAAGGTGTCCCTAAACTTGGGTGATAAAGTGTTACTTATCATATCAGTTTTTTTTTAATATAACTTCTACTATGGTAGACTTTCAAAGGTGATATTTTGCGAACAGTCACGTACAACCAATACACATATTCACACATATTTACAATTGTTTGAGTGAACACTGTGTCGTAGAAACGGGGGTTGCTCTAAGCTTATTGTCACATACAAACTTTGAGGTAAGGTTTTTATAACATTTGATACAATTTTTCGATTACTCAGTTCGGCTACTATTACTACGGCTACGAGATATTCGATATTACAATAATTGTTATATCGCATTAATGGATTAAAAGGTATATGATACAAATTTAGTTTTTTAATTGAAAAAACTTAAAAGGTCATTCTATGAGCCTCGGGAATGTTTGCCCTGAACGTCACATTAAAAAATATATTTTTTTCAATTAAAAATAAATTTGTTATTATATAATCCTTTAATGCGATATAACAATTATTGTAATCTCGTAGGTATATCTAAGAAAAGGTTTATTTTATCGAAGTTTGAGAGGTACACCTTTTTTATACTAGCCGAACTGAGTAATCGAAAAATTGCATCAAATGGTATAAAAACCTAACCTAACAGTTTGTATGGGACAATAAGTAGAAGTTATATTAAATATATAGTAGAAGTTACATTAAAAAAAACTGATATGACAAGTAAAACTTTATCACCCTGTATCTTGGAAACGTAGGTAATTAGGAAAAATATTTATCTAGGAATTATTATTAAAACAAAATGAAAAGGTCAATTTTTTTAAATAATTATTAAAAAAAAATATTAATTATAATTAATCGGTTCAAATTCGTTTAATAAAATGTATTTAAATTTATTTTTACAATAAATGCTTAAAAATTGGTCCGTAAAAATATTCTTGTTTTCCTGCAATTTATTTTAGAAAAAAGTTAATTACTCCCAAACCATAATTGCTAGGAATTATAAATCGGACAATAAGTAACTTGGCATTTGATTAAATTTTTTCGAGTTTCTAAGGGACAGCTGCCTTGGCGACGCCCATGGTAAATATTTAATAACCGTCTATTGTTCGCAGGCCAAAGTCTAAATACATCGGCCAATGTCGGCAATTTATCGTTGGCTGACCTTTAACACTTGTCTCCTATTGACGGCAGGCCGATGATCGTACATCAAATTGAATATATTTTTTTTATACACAGATTCTTGTATAATAATTTAATTTAAGTTTTGTAACTCAAACGGGGTATTAAGTTGCTTAATAAGCGGTTTTATTAACAAACAAACTAGTGCGAAAGGTTCGGTCAGCAGTCGAGTTCAGAATAGTATATTAAAGTACAAGTTGCAGAAGGCCACATATTCTCGCACGAATTCGAAATTTGGACTCGAGCGACGAAGGAGCGATTGGACGAACGAATGAGTGCGAGAATAGCCTTCTGCAACGTGTGATTTATACTATTTTCTCGATTTTAACTTTTATTTAGGTTTTTTTAATTGTTTTGTGGTCGTTGTTAGTTGGGGGATTTTTCTCGCAAAATGTCAGTTGGCAACACAAAATGACAATATTTGTTATCCTGCACAAGTACAACCTGAACTGCACTTTTTTACATTAAACTTAAAATTTTGCATTAAAATGCATTGTTGGAGCAAACTTAATATTACAAAACAATAATAAAAGCTTCATTTTCAATAAAAGTGTAGTTCAGGTTGCACTAGTGCAGGATAACAAACAAAGCTATTATAAATAATCCTAAAAGTAATGAATTTGAGGTTATTAAACAGTTTGACATTTTGGGGGTACCAATACTTAAAAACTAAATGTTACCAAAAATCGTTTAAGAATAAGCTTCATTCTTCAATGATTTTGCGTGCGAGAATATAACATTCTTACATAAAAATCGAGAAAATACATTTTCTCTACGACTACTTAAGAATAGTAACATTCTAGTGTAATTTTTGATCATAGAAAGGATGTTTTTCTGCAATACTGTGCGAGAATATTCCTACTCTTGTTTAAGTGTCACAAGTAACGACATCTCCTGGCTGTTTACTAAACGTAAAAAATTTAAAAATATTTTTTTTTTTATTAGTTAGTGTAAATAACTATTTTTAATTATAATAAAGATTTAGGCATACCATTTGTTTAAATTTATTATAATTTACATGATAAAATTGTGACGGCACAAAATGGTTTGACAATACAAAAAACTTAAATGTCAAAAACTGCTTGGTTTCTTTTCTCTGTTTAAAATTATATAAGCGTTACTATTCTTACGTAGTCGTAGAGAAAATAATGTCTGAAACACGTTTGGAATAGCATCTTCCACTCTCGTAAAACCGTCAAATTTTTCCTCGAGCGGAATATGCTGTATTCCAAACTTGTTACAGAATGTACTATTCCGAGCGTGTTAGGTACAATATTATTTCTACAAGCAATGAAATCTTACAAGTTTCCATTTCTAGAAAAAATATTTTCCCTGAGCGTGCAAAAAGTTGCTACTGTCCGCAAGCATTTACTTGCCTCAGTGTTGAGCGTGCGGAAAGTGAGCGTGCGAAAAAGTGCAACTTTCTGCACCATTTTAGAAAAAAAGATAGTGCGTTGTAAATTCCCCTTTTATTAGTCATATTTTACAATGAACTCTTATGTATTTATTATATTTTAGGTGACAATGTCGACGCCATATTGATGAGAAAATCCTGCGCCATGTGCATCGCCGGTCAGTTGTTCATATTACTCATTGCAACTATGACAGCCGCCATGCGATAGAATATTACTCACACCCGGGTGTGTTAGTAAATTACTTCCGTTGGACGCTGCAGTGCACAGTGGTCGTGAAATATATACGTGATAAAATATTTAATGCATTTGAACAATATTTTCGAAATTTAAAGAATAAATAAAAAAATGTTATATTATTAAACATGTGTATAAAGAAGTAATTACTTTGTTGTCAGGTGGATAAATATAATGATTATGATTTTTCAGAAAATGATAAAATTTACTTATTAAATTCTGCTACCTGAACACAGATTTCCTTAGATCTATACGGGTTATGACCTTATATAATTATCTCACATGTAATAGATTTAAATCAAATATATTCATAGCAAATATTAAACAAATTATTCATCACCTATAATTTATTTCTTGTTTATAAACTTGTCTGATATTTTTTTCCAAATCAAACAATATTTGCTATGAAAAATAAATGCAAATTACTACATAACTGTACAGTAAAATATAGTAATATTGTGTTTATAATACAATAAAAATAAAATTTTAATGTATTTAACTATTACCTACACTGTAATACTCAAAAACTAAATCATGACACTGTAACACTGTTTTTGTTTATGCAGTGTATATAATCAGAAAGTGTAAAATCACAATTTCAATTTTAAGATTTTAAAATTAATTAGTGTCAGTAAATTTCTTATTAAATACGAGATGTAAAAAAAAGAATCATCTCTAAATTGCACTTGTACATAATTTCTGTATAATTTTTATTTAATATTTTAATTGTAATATAAAACCATATAGATATTTATTTAAATTTTAAATATGAATTATTTAGGTCATTATTATTACTCATTCCCATTAAATAATTAGGACATTTAAATAAAGGAATGCTTATAATTTACAAACCCCTTTATGTATTTTTACTTCTTAATGTTAGCATCACAAACCACATGTGTGGATTGCGGTTAGCATGATGATTTGCAATAGTTAACAAAATATAATTGTGTATGTTCTAGTTTTTTGTGGAACATGTTAAAAACTTAACAAAAAAAATAAATCAAACCATTTTTGAGCATTAATTTTTATTAAATTGGACCAAAAACATGTTATTAAAAATCAGATTAATATGTTTCACAAACCTATATAATTGCATATTTATACATTAAAATTGTACATACTTCTCAAACTTTGCATAAAAATATTTGTAGTTAAACAATTTTTTATAATTTTGTGAATGAAAGAAAACGACAAATGAATGACGTGTTTATGTTTCTTTAATTTCTAGAATAAACTCCCATTACACAGTAAAAATATTTGTGTTAAAATATCAACATAATCATAATATTGAAGTTCGAAAATGTAAAGAAAAATTGTTTACTTTGATGTAATTAATTATAGTTATTTCTTCTTTTATTTAATAAAAAGATATACGTAATATTGTTTTATTTACTCAGTATATTTTAGGAAAACCAATTTTATTTAATGCTTATTTAACAATATTTAGTTAAAATAAATTTAAAACTTATCCTCCTTGAGGGGCTTGCTGTTGTTGATATGTTAAGGACCAATAAAATCCTTTAAGTCCTTTTAATTGATCATGTGTTCCCATCTTAAATAATAAAACAAATGTTTAACTTTAATTTAAGATTTAAAACAAATACATTACCTCCACAATTTTTCCTCTGTTTAAGACCACAATTAAGTCAGCATTTTGAATAGTTGATAATCTATGAGCAATAACAATAACCGTCCTTCCTTTTCTTGCCTTTTCCAATGCTTTTTGTACTATTTTTTCTGACTCTGTATCTAAAGCACTAAAAAATATATTTAGATTGCAAAATGGTTTTTACTAAGTATTTCTTAATTTTGGATCACGTAGGGATATGTATTTTGAAAATAATTTATTTTCTTTTTAGCGTATCGTATTTTAAACCCACTTTTGGTATTGTAATTTATTGTAATGGCCGCCGCTCCAAGATAGCGGTTTACTTTTTTATTTACAACCCCCTTAATATGGGTATTAACCCTATTAAAAATGCCATATAGAAACACAAAATAAAAATCTTTCTGGTTCAATATAGGAATTTGAAATAGACATTGCACTATTGAACCAGATAGAACTCCATACCTGGAAAACCATTTAGAAAAGTGATTTCTATATGGATTGCCATATAGGTTCATATTACTCTATCTGGCCCAATATGGTTTGGGTGTGAAAAAATTATTACCTTATAGATCCATATTTAACCATATAGGGGAATCTATATGGTTTAATATGCAATTTTCGTTTAAATATATATATATATATATATACATTTTAAAATGGAATTCCATATTCAACCATATAGGGAAACCTACCTATATGGAAAAACACATAAAACAGAAACCAGATAAATCCATATAAAAATCCCTAAGTTGTACATTTTAAAATGAAATTCCATATTAAACCATATAGATTCCAAAGTGTAAACCAGGTCGTTCCATATAGGACATATATAACCATATAAATCCATATTAGTTTCCTTATCTGGATCAATATGGGTTCTATAGGGCATTTTTAATAGGGAAATGAAAGGATTTGACGGATATAAAGCGATTCTAAATACAATATGGTGGCCGCATATGGATTTCTTCACAAAACTCCTTGACATGGGTATCAAATTAAAGAGTTTATCAAGTAGAAAACGTGACGTAATTCTAAATAAATATGGTGGCAGCCCCAAGATGGCGGATTACCTATTTCTCCACAACCCCCTCGAATGGGTACCAAATGAAAGGGTTTTACGAGTAGAAAACGATATGTGACATAATACTGAATCCAATATAGCGACCGCGTCAAGATCGCGGACTACCTGTTTCTTTACAACCCTCTTGATATGGGTATAAAATGAAATTATTTGTAAAGCCGAATACGTGACGTCATTCTAGTTCTAGTTCAATATGGCGAATAAAACTAACCTAATTTTAGAACTGAAAAGGAAAAGAATAGTTTTAAAACACTAAAAAAATATATTTATATTTCAAAATGGTTTTTACCAAGTATTTCTTAATTTTGGATCACGTAGGGATATGTATTTTGAAAATAATTTATTTTCTCTTTAGCGTATCGTATTTTAAACCCACTTTTGGTATTGTAATTTATTGTAATGGCCGCCGCTCCAACATAGCGGATTACTTTTTTATGTACAATCCCCTTAATTATTATTAATTAGTATTAAATGAAAGGATTTCACGGATATAAAGCGATTCTAAATACAATATGGCGGCCGCAAGATGGATTTCTTAAAAAAAGTGGGTATCAAATTAAAGAGTTTATCAAGCAGAAAACGTGACGTCATTCTAAATAAATATGGTGGCAGCCCCAAGATGGCGGATTACCTATTTCTCCACAACCCCCTCGAATGGGTACCAAATGAAAGGGTTTTACGAGTAGAAAACGATATGAGTGATATAATACTGAATCCAATATAGCGACCGCGTCAAGATGTCGGACTACCTGTTTCTTTACAACCCTCTTGATATGGCTATAAAATGAAATAATTTGTAAAGCCAAATACTTGACGTCATTTTAGTTTTAATATGGCGAATAAAACTAACTAACTTAATTTTAGAACTGAAAAGGAAAAGAATAGTTTTAAAACACTAAAAAACACGCTTGAATGCATTTAAAACCATAAAGAGCGTTTTGTCTAAGTTAATTAAAAGTACGTATTCCCTTTGTAAATGACCGATTAATTCCTTATAAAAACCAATTGAAGTATTGGTTGGTATCAATAGGTCTGAATTGGACTTACTTACTTACCCATGGGTTTAATTGGGAGCGATATAAAACAGAAATTGGTTTTACTGGTATTTTCCATGATAGAAAAGTCCGATTAGAATTCTACTGTTTTTTAATGGTTTCGATTGGTTAAAGCTACCAATAGGTAATTTCTAATTGAATTCAATTGGGCATTCCCAGTGTAAGATTTTAGAAAGGAATCTGCTAATTGGTTATTCCCAATACTTAAAAATATGGAAAAGTCCAATTAGGATTCTACTGTTTTTAGTGGTTTTGATTGGTTAAAGCTACCCATAGGTAATTTCCAATTAAATTTAATTGGGCATTCTCAGTGTGAGATTCTAAAAAGGAATTGGCTAATTGAATATTCCCAATACTTTAAAATATCGCAAGAGGGCTCTCGTGTAGCTGCGCAAAACCAACGTAAGCAGTCCTTGTTCGAATGGTTGCAGGGGCGTGCTGGGCCGCCGGGATACCGGGAGAAATCCCGGTGGGCCGGTGGTCCGGAGGGCTAAGTGGGCCGGTGTGCCGGAGGGCTATGTAGGCAGCATGCCGCAGCACGTTGTCAATTAAAAACTTTTTTAGTTGAGTTACGTATAAATATCATAATTATTTAACACATACCATGCATGCCAGCCTGCCAGCTTTGTTTCTTTTTTCGAAATTGTATATTGTTTATAAGTTTTCTGAGCGATGATAATTTGTATGAGTATGAGTATGAGTATAAGAGACGTATAACCAGCCCCATTTCCTCTTGACTCTCAAACCCCGTACAGGCCTATGTTTACTTACGCCGATTTTTGTTCTTCCCCAGCAACTGCACGGCTTCACCCGTGTTTGCTGGGTGCGAATGTCCATTGCGTTCCGTACTGTCCCCTATTTGGGGCTCGAGAGCGAGAGGCGAATAGTTATAATAGCCGTTCCCGGGTTCGCCGGGCCTATGCTATACGCTCAGTGAGGTATGGATGAGGGACGGGAGGGAGTTGGTTTTTGGGGGACAATTACGCCGACTTAAAACTAAGTACGACGCGGAATCCCCCTAGACCAGTCGGTTAGTATTACTCCAAACATTTGGGATTACTATTTGGAGTTGGGGAGTTGTTATTACGCTGCAGGGGTGTAGTTTCCTAGTCGAGGTCTTCGTCTTGTTCATTATTTTCATTATCCGTGTCGGATAGTTCCTGAACTTGGTAAAGTGTGTCGGTTGTTTTTTTTTATTGTTGTTTAGTTGCTCCCAACTGGTCTTGTTACTTTGTGAGAAGTGCATGTATTGTGCTACGTGTCATGAAATGTGAAGCATGGTCTACCGATTTTTTTGTCTTTAAGATCTAGTTTAAGGGTGGCTTGTAGTATGTTGTTGCGTTGTCTACGAGTGACGTGGGCCCAGTGTTTAATTGGGCTACTCTTACCCTTTTGGTAATGGTTTTTCCCATTGGTACGATAATCGGCACACATGATAAACTCCCCCGCAAAGAAATACAACCCCCCGCGGCCCCCCCGGAAGACAATCCACACAACGGCAATCGTACTACGACTACCGCCGTGTAGACCATCCCCCGTATAGGCCACGGGAGGCTGCACCCCCCCGCGGAGGAGCCCATCACTCGTGCCGAGCGTAAGGCCGCAATCGCTGCGATAAGGCAGTTCCCAGTGGGGGGTATTTTTTTTTACTTTTACAAATTTTATAATTTCTAAAAATTCGATTCTTTATCTTTTACTTTTTTTTTTATGATTAAAATATAATATTTATTGTTACATAATTATTACAATTATTGTAACTTAATTTCCGAAAATTCGATAATTTTATTACCCAATTCGATAATTTCAACTTTTACATCTGGCAATACTGCTATTCACACTCAACTTGTTTATGTTGTTTTTTGTCTTCTTGCATGTTTAGTTTATTTATTTATTTATCTTACGCCTTTTTCGATGGTTGTTTATGATTTGTCTGCTATGAGAAAATGAGGTTGTTTGTTTAAACTTAAGGAAATGTTCTTATTCTTTTTTAATTTAGTTTTTGAGACAATAAAAGAATTCTTAGTATTTTCTTTTTGCAACATTGTGAAATGCTTACATAAACATTGTGAAATGCTTTTATAAACATTTAGCGAATATACGGTAAGACATGCCGCTCGCACGTGTGGTAGTCCAGTAAATTTCGTGGAAGTGATCGTCTCTCTCACACCTTTTAACCAGGTCCAACAATTGAGGATTTAATCAATGGGGGAGGTACCACACACAATTTGCACTCTTTTGCACTTGGGACAGTTATCACGTTTAGAATCGATTGATTTTTTATTATTTTACGGCGTTAACCAGTTATCACGTTACTACATTTGTATCGTATACGCTGCTTAAGAGAGATCGATGAGCATATGCTTACACTTCAAGCGTCAAGAGCAGACTGAGCGATGATAATTTGTATTAGATTTTATTTTAAGTGCAATGCTATATGTGCATTGTGTAAAATATTGTCTGGTTGTGTTTGTTGCCTGGTTTTTTTTTCAAGAATTTAATTTTTCTACTCCTATTACGGAATTTGGCCGTTCTAATATCACTTTTGTCTATGCAATGACATATATTTCGTAAAGTGCTACAGAATGAAATATTCTATCATCTGATTACAGAATAAACACTCGTGGCGACATCTCTCTTTTTAATATCTAACAAATTTTAGACCGATCCAACCTCACTTTCTTTCAATTAAATTATTTTTCTATGGTATTTTTTGGAAACGTAGAAAAAGTATAGTCTGAAACACGTTTGGAATTGCATATTCCGCTCTCGTGAAACCGTCAAACTCGCCTTCGGCTCGTGTGACAAACTCTTCACTCGAGCGGAATATGCTGTATTCCAAACTTGTTACAGAATATGCTTTTATACTTTATGTTATTAATTATTAATATATTAATAAATGTTTGAAATTTTTTAACTTGGTTTTGTTCACCCCCCATTTTTCGTGTGTAGTTGGCCGATTTTTCTGAATTTCCCGGGCCGGTCTGATATAGCCAGCACGCCCCTGAATGGTTGAGACGCCATCATAAAGAAAAAAACAAGTCTTTGGACGATATTTAATGTCGTTTTTTTATTAGTCGGTAATCTATGGGTTTCTGTGCTTAGTGGTAGTTGTGTACTTATAGTGGTGTGTACTTATACCTTAAAAAATGTTTATATGTGTAAGGTTTAGGGACGATGGCGTGAGAATGGTGGTTACATCGGACAAAATAAAAAAAAATTGACATAAATAATATTGATTTCGACCATGCAAGAAAAGCAAAAAAAATTATTATAACCGAGTAATTTTATTTATTTTTTTTGTGTTAGTAAGTTATATGTATTAATACATATCTCACTAACACAAAAAAAAACTAAAGAAATAAAGTTACTTAGTTATAATAATTTTTTTGTCTCTTCTGTAAAAATGAATTCTAGTTTTTACCCGGTTATTCTTCTGGGATCTTAATTATTTTTCAATAAAAAATCAACTGGTATTTTTAATCCAAAAATAAATTGGTTGAAAGGGTTGGCGCTATGAATTACCAATTCATTCCAGGTGCATTTCTGTTGGATTTAGCCAATAGAGACAAGCATAGGCATGGATTGGTATATTTCAATTAAATCCGCTGACTTCATTGGAACTTACTAATAGGAATGCAACTGGAATGAATTGGTGATTCATAGCGCCAAAACACATTTCAAACCAATTCAAACCAATTACTTATTTTTCATTGGATTCTATCGGTCATTTACAATAGGGATAGTTATTGACCATTAAAAACGGTCAAGTTTATTTATAGCACAACATTTTTTAAGTTACTTCCAGTAAAAGAAAATTCAATAAATTTGTTTCTTCCTTACATCAAAAAACACCTTCGCCAAACTTTTTAAAGGTTTAGATACTAAATAAAGGTATCTTAAAAAAATATAAGAGAAATAGAATCTACGTTGAATTTAGAGCAAAATTGACTCATTCATTTTTTGAGTGAATTATTAGCTGAAATATCTCCTTTCGAAGTTTGCAGTGCATGAAAAACCGCTTTATTTTCAAAGTACAGTAATTTCGCCGAGACTTCGAATTTTGCAAAACAAAAAATATAAGCCAACACCAACAAACTCACCGAGTTTTATCAAAATCTGAGGGGTCAACCGCTGGCTAACTTGGTGTTACCCATTTAACTTAGAACAATTAGAACTAAAGTCACCCACCAAAATTAAAAAATTGATATAAAGCGGTTTCCATCAATTAAGAAACACTCTATTTATAATATAACTAAATATTTTTTTATAATTTTAACCTTGTCATTGTTCAGAACCAAAATTTGTTGGTTACTTTTAACCGAAATTATATATAATATACATGTTTTTGGTTAAAATATATGTATGTCGGCGCCCTTATTAATTGGTGGTCTACGCTCATGAATCTTTCTTAGAATTCTTTTAAAATGTCTAGGCAGCCTAACCCTCAGTCGCCCTCGTTAATCTCTGACATGTATATAGTTGGGTCAATTTTTCACAAAAATCAATTACAAACTAAAAACCTTAAAATGTTATGTGTTACCTTGTTGCTTCATCCAATAATAAAATAGAGGGATCTTTCAAAAGCGCCCTAGCTATGGCAATTCTTTGTTTTTGACCCCCTGATAATGTGGCTCCCCTTTCACCAACAAGAGTGTCATAACCTTTGGGGAAGTTTGAAATAAATTCGTGAGCATTGGCCAACTCAGCAGCTTGCATAACCTAAAGAAAAACAAAATAAGCCCTGCTAAAAAAAAACTGGTCGAATCGGATCAAGATTTTGACCATGATTAAATCCAATTAAATTCGATCACGTTAACGTAAAGTTTCTTTTTTTTTCGTGATCGGATTTGATCAAGTTTCGATCCTGTTTAATGTTAAAAAATTAAGTACATATTCTTAAATATCAGTTTGGTTTAATGGTAAATCCACCAGGCGTAGGACAAATAGTAACAAAGGGCGGTTACTTTTAGTTTAAAAAAGTAACCAATAGTAACCTAATAAAACAAAGGAAAAAACTGTAATATTAATAAAAATATTTTAAACGTAACGTAACAAAACTCTCATCACAGATCAAATTATTATAAATATTATAAGGCAGTGTCCATAAATGATGATGGGGGAAGAAGGTTAACCAGAATCTACTTTGGGCTACCGTACGTGAATAGATATTGTATCAAAAAATACAGAATAAAAAAACAAAATTATTCTTTAAATAAACTTATCATAATATAAAATATTATCTATCACATCAAAACATTATATTACTGAAGTTTTCTCGCTCTCTCTCTCTCTTTATATATATATTTTTTTTATCCACTACGTCCGGAGTACTATAAGCCTCTCCCTCAGTAATGGAATTGGTCTGAGCCGATGTGGCTCTTTTAACCAGTCACCAGTACATACACGTGGAATTTCAAATCTTGAAACATCCACTAAATCGATTTCACAAATCACAAAATACCTCGCTGAAAGGTTAAATGCTTGCGATATTGTCGAGAAATACTGGTATATTTCTATACCGGGAACATTGGCGTAACTAGCCATCTGTCCCGGGGGGGGCTGAGGTGGGCCTGTTATTGTGACTAGGAATCATTAAAAAAGTAAAACAAATGTTGTCTCCACAAGGCACAAATAACAATTTTTTTGATCAAACAGTTCCAGTGAGAAAGGGAGTAAGTACTACAATGTGATCTTGAAGACGTGTCCAAATATAATTGATGACCGTTATTACCGCGCATGACCGTTATGTTATGAAAAGATACAATTGCTAGCAAGATACATCCACCTTAAGTGTATGTGCGCATGTTGGGCGGTGCTTAAATACATCACTTGTTGAGTATTTTTAAATCTTTAATTATCTGCTGCTAAAATTCTTGTTTTTGCGATGCTGTTGGATGTTAACATGCTCTATTTTTTGTTTAAGTTGTTGTTTTTGCGTTCAGTGAGGTTTGAATTACTTTTCAGTGTTCAAATTATTGTTATTGCGTTGTTTTAACCTGTTCTGTTTGTTTATTATTATTTTTGTGTTGTGTTAACGTGTTTTAGTTTGTGTTGTGCCATTTGCATTTATTAAAATGAGGTGTGGCATATTTGGATGCAATTCGGACAACCAGTCCAAGAAAAACCATTTAAATAAAAACATTAAATTTCCGAAAAACTTTGATGTGTGCAAACAGTGGTTAAATGCCATAAAAAGAATAGACAATATTAACGTAAAGACCGCTTCTGTTTCCTCTAAACATTTTCTGGACAGTGATAAGTTTGATTTAAAACACCAACTCTTAAACTACAGTCCTAAATTTTATCAAGGACTGAAAGAATCTATTATCCATATTATAACACTTTCTTTAATATTAAGTTTAATAAAAACGCACTATGTCCAGATATTTCTCTATTTTCTTTGATAATATTATCATTATTCGTGTATTTGCACGGCAACTATTCAAGTGACGTCATGCGCGGCTCGAACCAAAAACTTGTCCACGGGAGAATCCAGCCCTGATTGCTAGTTGCGAGCTTGCAGGGTCGGTTTTAAAATAGGGACCAACTCGTATTTTGAAAGTTGATAAAATACAACCTAAGATATGTAAATTATACATACATATTTCTATTGCAAATTTGGCAATAACAAAAAATTGTAACAGATAAAAGTCAGCCTTTTCCTGGGGGGGGCAGGCCCCCCTGTAGTTACTCCAATGACCGGAAACCCCATTTTATCCTTCCTGGGTCAAATTCACCTATTTTTAGACTTTTGTCATGGAGCGATGTACAGCACTTTAAGGATAAAATCGAACTCCCTACTGAAGTTTTCCTCTTGCAAAATGTGCTAGTCATTTTCTCTGCGTCTGTTTGCAATTTATTTATTTAAACTTCAACTAATGGGTTGGCGAATCGGATTCATATCAGTTGCATCGCTAATAATTCCTTATTCATCACAAAATTAATACATTATTTTTGCATACGAGTGAATATGCTTAATACAGGGATATATTGAAATAAGAGAATACATTGGATAGAAATAGTAACAAAAGTAACCGCACTAACTAAACTTTTAACCAAAAAGTCACTTTTAAAAGTGAGGGAGGCCTGCAGCCGAAACATTTTGGTCAGTTGGGTGGTCAATAATAGAAACTCGTTGTGACCTATAAGGGATACCTTAAATTAGCCGGCTCATTTTAAATCAGGTATTTTTTAATAACCGCCCATATGGGCGGGATATCCCTAACTCACCACCACTGTTTTAGGTTACAACGTAGAAAAAAAAAAAGGTTTATCTGTGGGTTACAAATAATTGTAATATAGAAACGAAAAAGAAGTAATCTACCCTAACACAAGCGAGATATATCTAATCGAAAATTTCGAATCTGATCGGATCTATTTGAGAATTTCAAAACCTGATCGAAGCATGATCGGATCTGTTCGGGAATTTCGAAACCTGATCAAATCTGTTTGGATCTAATCGGGAATTTAGAAACTTGATCGAATCTGATCGGATTTAATCGAGTTTTGATCAGTTTTTTTCAGCAGGAAATATAATGTGTTATTTCATAAAAAATCGTTGCTGTCGTATTGCTTGACACAGGTATTTTGCTTTGGACTAATAAATATATTTATTAACTTATAATTTTATGTTTTTAAAAACCCAAAAGATTAAATACGTATATGATTCTTCATAAAGATTAAAAAATATATGTAAATTCAAAAAAAAATTACGTTTTTGTAAATTTTGGGAAATACAAATATAATAAAAAAACCTAATTAGCAATTCCAAAATATATAAAAGTCTTACTTCTTCGTCAGTTGCATTTGGTCTGCCATATCTAATATTTTCAATGATGGATGTTCCAAATAATATTGGTTCTTGACTTATTAAGCCTAATGCTCGGTTTCTAAGCCAAGACGGATCCAAAGTTTTAATGTCCTCACCGTCAATAGTTATGGAACCAGCTTGTATATCATAAAATCTGTAAAATACATAAATTATGTGTTTTATAAATGTTAAAGGTTTATCTACTGTTTAAAAAAAAATTGCAGAATTTTATTTAAATTTACTGAAATCCTTCTATGTATGCCATACTATGGTTATCAAGAAGACTAAATAAAGGTGTAACTCTTGACCACAAAGCATAATTGTTACGCCAAATAGGGTGCGAAGGGAAGACTACAGATGCGCAAAGTGCTCACCGCGCATAGCTGTAATCCAAAGCTGGCTGGGTATCTTACAATTTGTAAATTAACATTAACTCACAATGCATCCGTATATTACTACTGACGTTTGTACGTACGTTTTTTGGAGTGCCCCACCTAGCATGTTCTCCTTCTGTATTTAGTCTTCTTGGTGGGTATCGTTTTTATTTAAAGAGCTCCAAGGTCGGTTAAATAAGAGAATAGTTGCATAATTACAATTCTATTTAAATGGTATGAAAATTGGAAAAAATCAGCGGTTCTCAAATAGTTTGAAAAAAAACTCAAAAGCTGTCAAAACCAAAAATCTCGTTATTCCTGGAGTTTTGAAAGAAATTAAGTTCATTTGGAAAAATACATTTTTATTCAATTTGTGATTTTGAGTATTTTGTTTTTTCTATGGCCGCCATATTGGAATTTTACATGGTTGGATAGGAAATACAACGCTGTATCAAACTACATAAGTTACGGCGGACAGTATTAAAATATATATGGTAATGGTAACTCAAGATATAGCGAAGAATTTGGATAAAAATATAGATAAATGTGTATCTGTACCTCAGAGCCAGAGTAGTACAAAAACCTGATTTTGAAGGAGAGCCGTTTAAAGATTTGAAGCGAGGAAATGTTATCTGCATTATTGTTTAAAACTCAATTTCTATGAAACCTCAGAATATTCTGTGGGTCCTATAGAAATCAATCTTTATATATTTTTTTTTATTATGAAATGAAATGACTTACACTTCTCTGCAGTTAATTTTATTTTTATTTTCAAAACTATACTAGTTTCGCCTGTTTTGGCATCATCAGTAGTTCACTAAAATACATGATTTGAATAAACATAATATTGTTAGGTTATATGCAATAAATATTACAATCTTTATATATTAATGAAAATATTAAAATGCCGTGTTTGAAATCTCTCCTTCCGAATCAGGTTTTTGGACTTGCCCCATGAAGTTCTAATGATTTTTTTTATTTTGACAGGTTTTTAGTTTTTTTCAAATATTTTGAGAACTTCTTTTGTAATTTTTAAATTTCATTTTAGTAGGCTTATAATTACGCAACTTTTTTTTATATAACCAACCTTGAAGCTCTTTAAATAAAAAAGGTATAGTTAAATTTAAAAGATAAGTAAATTTAATTATGAAAACCCTATTATAATAAATAAAAATTATATATCATGGCTTTATAACAAACTAAATTTGAGTTAAATTTTACCTCTCAATTAAAGCTACAACAGTTGATTTTCCATTTCCAGAAGCTCCAACAATTGCTACAGTTTTTCCAGAAGGCACAGTAAGATTGAAATTTTCTAAGATTACCTAAAATATTGTTAATTTACAACTAATTATCAAAATAAAATAAATATATTACTTGTTGAGGCCTTGTTGGGTATGCAAACGTGACATTTTTAAATTGAATATCGCCTTTTAAGGCTCCATCTGGTATAATTTTGCCACCTTTCAATGACATACTTGGCTTTAAATTAATATACTAAAAAAAATAATGGGTAATTTTTTTAAATATTTGTTTTTCTTTTTTTTATTTTTACCTCAAAAACCCTTGAACCTGATGCAAGTCCCCTGACAACTGATCCAAACAATAAGGAGATCTGTGCCAATGATCTTTGAATTGTTTGCGAGGCCATTAGGTAAGACATTACTTCTCCTGCCGATAATTTATTGGTGGATAATAAATATCCGCCCATGTAGAGAGTCGATAAAACCATACTTTAAAAATAGAAAAAGAAATTGAAGAGGATAAGTTAAGAAAACAAAACGTTATTATCTTCTTAGAACAAAAATAACATGGCTAAACAATTACAACTAATTCGTTGTTTTTTTTAACTAAATTCAAGGGATCACGCATTTTCTGTGAGGCCTGTACGAGGTAACAAAAAATCCTAAAAGTTGGTACCGCTGTAAATAATTATTCAAATAAGGTTAAGCACAGAGTGCGGTGTGCATTGTGAAATATAATATATATATTATATGAATTTCATATTATGAAAGGGGTATTTTTGACCTGAGGGACAAGATTGGAGCCCAGGTATAGAAAAACCTGTATTTTTGGACAATATCGCAGGTATTTTCTGATTTGGACATTATATTTTTTCAAGAAAATTCTCGTGGAAGTCACTGGACGTTAATACCTGTATCTCTTGAAAGAGGGAATAAATAGTTAGAGAAGAAGAAGCGCATTCTGTGCGTCTGTAAAGCAACTATATATTTAAGCAATAAAAATAATTTTAACAACTAACAATAATTAAAACATTGTCATTTAAAGGAGCAAGTGGATAAAGGAGTTAAGAAACATTTTTAATAATAAAGGACAAAATATTTTGTAATTGCAATACCAATGGGTTTAAGTTTAAGTTTATATTTATTTACAATTACATTTTTTTGTGTCATGTTACATTTAATTGGAAAAGAAAAGTCATAAGAAAAAATTGAACCTACAACTCACCAAAGTTTTTTGTTTTGAGTGTGTTCCACCAACTTCAAATACCGACAAGCTGTTTCGATCTATATTGGGTCTCATCAGTGTCGGACAACTTGGTGTAGTGGAACACACTCAAAACAAAGGACTCCCTGAGCTTATATGCTCGGTTGGTAAGCCAACAGAGGCGAGATGTAAGAACACCAGGTGATCCACACCGTCAAACTACGTGGCCTTTGCCGCAATCGGTACATACTATGCAACCGGGACTGCACACAGCAATTGTATCACAGATACTAATATGGCCTAAAGGAATCTAGAATTAGCCCAACCGGGCTAAACATTAAGGTAAACATTAAATTTTCTTAGTTTATTTAAGAAACTTTTTTGACCCATTACTGGTAATATTCATAAGAAAAAATTGAACCTACACCTCGCCAAAGTTTTTTGTTTTGAGTGCGTTCCACCAACTTCAAATACCGACAGACAGCTGTTTCGACCTATATTGGGTCTCATCAGTGTCGGACAACTTGGTGTAGTGGAACACACTCAAAACAAAGGACTCCCTGAGCTTATAAGGTGTAGGTTTAATTTTTTCTTATGAATATTACCAGTAATGGGTCAAGAAAGTTTCTTAAATAAACTAAGAAAATTGAATGTTTAAAAGAACAGTCAATATTGGGATTGCATTTTTTTATAGAAATGACAATATATTTTCTTCATACCTTGTTCGAAAGTACTTACATTCGTCTCTAATAGCAGGGACGAAAGTTTAACATTTACTCCCTGTGCTATTAGGGACAAAAGTACGTACTTTCGACCGAGGTAAACTTTCGTCCCTGCTATTAGGAACGAAAGTAAGTACTTTCGATCGATGTATGAAGAAAAATAGAATACACCACACGGATCACGGCCCTTGTAGTGTAATATACTATTTTTCGTTTATTACTGGCATATGAAGGTAATTTGAGTTTCTGCCATTAAAACTAACAGTATTTTTTTTCCTTAAAATATTATTTAACTATATAACTTAACTACCTAATTAAAGGCTAAATAAAAATAATTTATTATCGAGTTATTCATTCAAATTATGATGATTTATATTATCTGTATCCAAGACCTACGAAGGCGTAGAAAGGACACAACCCAAAAAATTAACTAATTTTCAAATTAAAAATCGAAATTTTAGTGTAAAATTGTACCCTAAAATTTCGACTTACATCTGGAAAATTTAAAATTAAGTCGAAATTTTAAAATTTTGAGATACAACTCGAACCTTTCTCTATTTTCATTTACTCAATTTTGAGTGCAATAACCTTCTCCTTCAAAAGCGACATTTAATTTCATAGATTTTGTCTCAAGCGGGCAATCAACCGTATTCAAATAAGTCCACGCCTCCCCAAACGTGGGACCCATGCCAAATTGCCCCTATGTGCGCCCCTGATACTATTGATGAATTAAAGTGATTGTTTATTTTAATTAAATGTTACATGATAACATGGTTAACCCATTAACGGCCAAACGATTGTTGAATTAAATTGTTAAATGTCTCCCTCCGAATGACCCCTTTTGCTCCCACACAATGTGCGCCACTGATACAATTAATAAATTAAAGTGATTTTTTTATTTAAATTGATCGTTGAAATAAATGTTAGATGATACTTTTAAATGAAATTAATACGATTGTTGAATTAAATTTTTACACGATAATTTTAACTCGTCGCTGAAATAGTTTGCGGACATATTATAAACTAAATTTACATTGGGTCTAAGCGTCTAATGTATTTGGTTTAAAGCAAAATAACCTAATGTTCTGTGCTAATTTCTAAACAAAATAATTTAATAATTAATTTTGTGACTGGTTTACCAATTTACTCTTGAGTAAATGAAAATTCTAGTACCTGTTTAAGAACATATTAGTTCCCGCCTGAAATACACCAATACCAAAACCCAAATCCTGATTTAAATCCATAGCTAATTCAGCTTCATTATTAAACAACTCGATTTCTTGATCTTCCATAGCAAACGCCCTTACAGTTCTTATATTGCCCACAGCCTCATCAGCAACAGCAGTAGTTTTCTCAACCTAAAAGTAAATTACCTAAGGATAATTACTTTATTTATTTTAATTATATTTTACTTGAGCCTGCGCCTTTCTGGAAGTGGATCGTAGTAGAGCACCAAAAATAGTTCCAACTGCAATAACTGATGGGATGCAAAGTAGTGTTATGAAAGTCATATGAGGAGAAATCATTATTAATGATACTGAACATCCTATAATTTGGGTGGCTGCTCTAAGACCACCTGATATGGTCTGTTTAAAACTACTTTTAAAATCTTGAATATCAGCCGTTAACCTAAAAAGTAAAACACAAAATTTTGTAAATAAACCAATTTATGTCCCGGACAACATTCGTGATATTCAAACGAACATTATGTCGTGATTTTCACAAATTTTATTCATACTGATATCATACGGAAGTCACCGCGTGATAAATGAAAATCATACGAACGAACAGTTTTTGCGGTTAAATAGATTTAATATTTTCTTGGATTTAAATTAACTATATATAGTTAATTTAAATCCAAGAAAATATTGAATTTATTTAACCACAAAAACTGTTGGTTCAATATATATGTAGGTATACTTTTTCTCTCAATGTACGAATGTGGCGCAAAAATAAAAATTCACCGAAGGCATAAAAAATCACGACATGATTTTGTATGCCATCGGTGTTTGGTCATAAAAAATCATGACATGATTTTTTATGTAATCGGTGTTTGGATATCCAAAATATAAAAAAAAAATATTAAATTTTTCAAAATTAAATATTTCTATACACATATTTGTAATTAACTATAGTTTAAACCATAAAATTGAATTTGTGACGTGACGTGAGGGGGGTTTGGGGTTTGCGCTGCTGACCATTTGTAGTCACAAAAAAGCGTGACGTCCTTTATGGCCGACCTCTATTAAGAATAAACAAACCAATATTTTTGACAATATAACATTTGATTAAAAAAAATTTCTACATTATTTTTTGTTATGAGAAATTAAAAAAATAATATGTAAGTATTTTTATTATTTTATTATAACACTTAAGTGTTAAGGTTTAATTAAACCATTGACACCAAGGCTTAAGTGTTAAATGGAAAAATAATAAATAACTTGCAAATATTTCAAGTTGAAACAGTAGAACATTGAATTCAATTAAATTCAACAGTAGGAAATTAAATAAAACTACCGATATAACAATATTGAAGCACGGTCACTACATTGTGCATTTATGTGTTTTACTGTGGTTTGTGCGTGCACTTCGGCATGCAAATGCGCCTATATTATATAGTAGTTCTCAGAAAAACGCCAACCAAGCACCCAGGAGCTTGGTCAGCAAACCGAACTTATTACATATGTACTACATGTTTTACAAACACTTTTATGTCATCCTTTGTTTCGAGTTGATATAAAATAAATAAAAATAAAATTTTTAAAAAACAAAGTTTTAGTTTTTGGAAACATAAGTGGCGCAGTCGTTGCAGGATAAGCCCAACGATTTTTTCAAAAAGTGAACCTCGCGAAAGGACCTTCACATCGAAAAATCGGTGAATTTTAATTCTTTATAGTACAAAATCGAACCCAGAACTTTATAAAGTGAACCACCAGACCGGATAGACTTTCATTGACTAAAGTTCGAACAGAAAATTGCAAATAGTGAACCACCAGTTCGGACGGACTTTCATTGTGCAACTTTCAAAGAAGTTATCAGAACACTCAAACTAAGGTTTCCAGAGCCATGAAAATTTGGTACTGGTAAATCATAAATGTCATTAACGGATACTGATTTGTGTTTGTCCTATTGTGTAATAGTCCTTCGGAGGGGACTTTAAGCCCGTGGTCCGTTCCTACCCCTAACCCGCTCAAGCCATTCAGATGACTTCTGGGACTTCTTAGGAAGTAAGGGTGGAACTAAAAGAGCACTTAAAAAAAAAAGATATAGATCAAAATAATTCGATAATTCCTTTAAACTCCCCTCCTCGTAGATTAAATTTTCAAAATTTTACGACAATTAGCACTGAGGATATATTATTAAACAAGTTGCAAAATTTAAATTTAACTAGTAATTTAGAAGATACTAATAATTCGTTAAATATGTCTTTTCAAAAAGAATATCTAAAAATTATTCCTGAATTCACAGGTAATCAATCACTTTTAAGTGAGCCATTATTAAATAAATTTTACAATAAAAATGATCCAAACGATTTTTTAAATACTTTTCTATTGAAATCTATTAAAAACAAAGTCAAAGGTACCGCCGCTGAGGCAATCGCTTCATTTCCAATAAATACTTGGAAAGATTTAAAAGATGCCCTTCTGGCTTCTTACGCTGATAAACGCGATTTACAAACATTAATAATAGAGTTATGTAATATGAAACAAAGTAACTTAAAACCTTTAGAATTTTACACCAAAGTACAGACAAATCTTAATCTGCAAGTAGGATATATCAACACCCACGGTACAAATGCACAGGATGTATTAACACTGACGACAAGTTCTCAGAAATTAGCGTTACGCGTATTTCTTAAACATTTAAATAATCCGCTTGGAGATTATTTATCTACCAGGCAACCCAATAGCCTAAATGAGGCACTACACATTTTAACAAATGACTTTAATATTCAAGATAAAAATTCTAATTTCTCAAAACCAAAGCCAATCTATAACTAAAGGCCTCTCGCCATAGACTATAAACCCCAATTTCATCCATCTCAATCTTATCCTAAGAACTCAAGATCAAATGTTTTTAAACCTAACCCTAACTATATTCCCCAAAACAAACCAGCGCCAATGAGCATAAGTACTAGAAACACCACTAAAAATCCGACAAATAACAGTAGTCAAAATCATTTTAGAAATAATTTTGGACATCAACGTAACTTCATTTCCGAAGAACTGCATAACATTAACGACCCTGAATCGGAAGTCGAAATAACCGAGTACAATGACATTTACCTTGACCAAAATAATTCTCATAACGACTGTTTAGAATTAGACAACGCACATTTTTTAGTCGCAGAAGCCTCGGAAGAAACCATATAGAACTTCTTAATATTGACTTTTCAAAATCTCAACTCCCCTACATTAATATCCCTATAAATAGTTTAAATTTAAAATGTTTAATCGATACTGGTTCCACTAAATTATTCGTTAACCCAGTAATAGTAAAAAAACATTTTACAAAAAATATTCGATACGACCCTTATACAATTTCCACCGCTCACGGCACAAGCCAAGAAAAATATAGCATTAATATTCCATGTCCAGAAATTTTTAATTTAGGTAACAGTTTCATTAAATTTCACATATTTAAGTTCCATAAATATTTCGATTGTTTACTAGGGCTAGATAGTCTTCAAAAATTTAATGCAACAATAAATTTAAAATCTAATAAGCTCATTTTACCACAAACAACAATAGACATTAAGTTTAAAGAATTAAGCGACTATAACAACCATATAGTAGTGCATCCAAATTCAGAACAAATAGTTAAGATAAACGTAGAAAATGTAAAAAATGACAATGGTATTTTACCATACCAAAATTTTGGCGAAGTTGAAATTCCAGAATGTTTATTAGAAATAAATAATAATAATGCTCATACTACTATAATTAATACTACCAGTGAAACATTATGTATAAATTTAACAGATCCATTTGAAGTTATTCCCGAATCCGATTTTGAAATTAAAAGTCCCAATACTCATTTATGTAATAACTTTAATTACTTTAATACCTCAAAAATTAAATTCGATTTAAGTAAAGTTCGCTTGCAACATTTAAATTCCGAAGAACATCGAGAAATAAAGAAATTACTAAACAATTATTCAGATATTTTTCATTTTGACAATAAATCTTTAACTTTTACTAACTCAATTAAACATAAAATTCAGTTAAAAAACGAAACCCCTATCCATACTAAAACATACAGATACCCATACGTACATAAATAGGAAGTAAAATCGCAAATAGAAAACATGCTTGAACAAGGCATTATAAAACCCTCCAAATCTCCATGGTCAGCCCCTATTTGGGTGGTCATAAAGAAGTTAGACGCTTCCGGTAAACCCAAATGGAGAGTTGCTGTAGACTAATTAAGCAAATTAAACGAGCAAACTGTAGATGATAGATATCCTATACCTAACATCAACGACATTTTGGATAAACTCAGTAAAAGTCAATACTTCACCAAACTTGATCTCGCTTCTGGTTTCCACCAAATAGAAGTGGACCAGAAAGATACAGAAAAAACCGCTTTTACGGTCGAAAACGGCCATTACGAATTCATTCGTATGCCTTTTGGCCTTAAAAACGCTCCATCTACATTTCAACGTGTGATGGATAATGTGCTTAGAGGAATCCAAAATGAAGCCTGTTTCGTTTACTTAGACGCTATAATAATTTTTTCCACCTCCTTACAAGAACATATCCATAGACTTAAGTTAGTGTTTGAGCGTCTACGCGAATTTAACTTTAAAATTCAACTTGATAAAAGCGAATTCTTGCATAAACAAGTAAATTATTTAGGACACGTAATAACCACCGAAGGCATAAAACCAAACCCTGATAAGATAAGAGCAATAACCGAATACCCAATTCCAAAAACCCCCAAACAGTTAAAAGGATTTTTAGGCCTATTAGGGTACTACCGTAAATTTATAAAGGATTTCGCGAAAATAACCAAACCTTTAACTAGTTGCCTAAAAAAGATGCCTCTATCAACATCAATGATCCCGCGTACAAAAAAAAATTGTTTTAATACATGCAAACGTCTTTTATGTAATGAGCCAATCCTTAAATACCCAAATTTTGAAGATCAGTTTATTTTAACCACCGATGCATCAAATTATGCAATTGGTGCCGTTTTAAGTCAAAGACCAATCGGATCGGACCTTCCGTGCGCATATGCTTCTCGAACATTAAACGAACATGAACTTAACTACAGCGTAATAGAAAAAGAACTTTTAGCCATCGTGTGGGCTACTAAATACTTCCGTCCGTATTTATACGGCAGAAAATTTAAAATATTGACTGATCATAAACCTCTACAATGGCTTTTCCAGCTTAAAGGACCAAATTCTAAATTAATCAGATGGCGATTACGATTAGAAGAGTATGAATTTGAAATTTTATATAAAAAAGGCAAATTAAATAGTTACGCCGATGCTCTCTCACGTCCCCCAAATAATTTTAATGTCATGGAAACAAGATCCAATAAAACACAAAAAGCCGACCCTCCAAAAAATCCTATACAGTGCTTGCAAATCCAAGTCCGACCACACTGGAAAGGACGGCTGT